GCCCTGGAGGCCCAGGCGGAGCGCAAACTTTTGCTTCAGTGCCCTGCGCTTCTTCGCGGCACGTGAAGCCCCCGAGCGCCGGCGCAGCAGCCAGGGTGAGGACCGAGGCCCCGCCTAGGGGGCGGGGGACTGGGGAGGCGGCTGGCTTTAAATGGGGGCCATCCGGGCGGCTGGGGAGCAGAGCTGCTGCGGGGGGTGGGGGACCGCTGACCTCTCTTCTCCGTGGCGAGGATCGGTTGGGGCAGCCGCCAGGCAAGGTGGCGTGCGGCATGGGAGGGGCGCAGGCGGGAGGTGGAGGCGTGCAGTGAAACCCACGCTCCGAAGTGGGCGATCGGGGCTCCGGGGGGCAAACGCGGGTGCGCACGGAAGTGCAATTGTTGCGGTGTGGGCAGTGAGGCCAGGGGAGCAGAGCGGGTGCGTGCCACGAGCCTTTTCGTGGTGCTGTGCATGCAGGGTCAACGAGTGTGCAGGCAGGAGTCGGTGAGTGTGCATGGGGGTCAGTGGGTGTGTGCGCAGGGTGCGTGGTTCCTGCCAGGTTTGAGGTGTGCTCCTAGTGACAACTGAGTTGTGCGAGGTCGTTTCTGCGGGACATGGGGTTCAGTAAGTGTGCCTGGCTGCTTCTAGGGGTGTGCCTGGGGCAAGGTGTGCACACAGTATCCTGGGGTTGTGCGCCAGGATAAGGTGTGAGTTCTGGGATGCACGGAGAGTCAGTGAGTGTGCAAGCTGGAGTGTAGATGCAGGCTTGGTTTGCAAGTCCCCCGGAGTGTGGGGCGTGCCCTCCCGACCTGGACTGGCAAGTGAGCTGGTGTGCGGGGGCGATGGTGCCTGCGCGTGTCCCACTGACAGGTGCCTTGCTCCCCTGACAGTTGGCCCCACCAGTGGGCGCCGTGGGCCGAGATGCTCCTACGGGACCTGGTGCTGCGCGGAGGCTGTCGCTGGCCCTCGCTGCTGCTGCACTGCGCTCTCCACCCGCTCTGGGGCTTCGTGCAGGTGAGCAGAGAAGGGGGCTGCGCATGGGCTGGAAGGCCTCAGGGCGGAGGGAGGTATCACTTCACTCCTGAGACCCTGGCTCCTACACGAATAGGGCCGGGGAAGAGTTTAGGAAGAGCAAATCTGGTAGGGTCCTCCATGCTCTGGCCCTGAAAACATAAAGAAGTCCAAAAAGAGGCTTCATTTGTGTCCCAAGGCCTGCAGGACAGAGTATGGCATAGAAAAAAGCTTAGGGATCACCATCTGTTGGTAAGCTGTTACTGCAGGACATTGGGAACCAAGAAGACAAACTTACGAAAAATGATCCCAAGGATGTATGTTCTTCATTTCCCACCAGATCGCACTGTTAAACTTCAGATTAGCTAAGCTGCATTTCAGCAACGGAGGGGGCCATGTTGCTTGCAAGTAGTGGAGCTGGGGTTGTGGACGGACCATGCAAGATAATGCATGTGGCCACTTGTGCAGAATATAAGAAGGACCTGTCTATCGATCAGGACTGCTTGAGGATGAGCTCCTCACTCCAGATCCCCAGAGGGAGAGGCCAGGAAACCACCAGCTGACGTTACCTCCTAGGGCCAGAGTGAGGGTTAGATGGGATGCTGTCTAGTACTGCTCATGATGTACAGTCTGTGGTACAGTAGAGAGGCGATAGGTGGCCACTGGTGTCAGCTCTGAATTTTGAGCCCTGGCTCTGCCCTTCATTAGTGGGGGGACTTGGGGTAACCCATTTAACCTCCCTGAGCCTTCGTTTCTCCTTCTTGACTATACTAGTATAAGTACTTGGTGAGATCAAGGAAGTAAGGATTGCTTAGTGCGCTCCTGGCCCATGATAAACACTATCAGTAGCTGTTGCTGCTATTAGATGACTAATAGTAATGGTGCTCTTCCCTCTGGCCTGTGGGGCCTCCTGTCAATCACATTACCTCACAGTTTTTGAATTATGAGAAGTGTTACCCTTTGGGGTTTGAAGGACCCTCTCTCCAGTAGCTGCAGATTTATATTCTCCCGCTGGTACTGGAGGGGGGCTATGGATATGGTGACAGAGCACAGAAAGGTTGGGCTGAGACGGCTTTCCCGTCTGCTGTGGTCTGAGAGCTACCCTAAGTGACAGGATCCTGCTGGGAACCGGCTTGGTTAGTCTTGCTGGGATGGTGGCCTGAGTGACCCGCTGGGGAACTGGGGCTCTGAGCCAGCCAGCATCCCGTCTTCTGCTTACTTCTGCCTCACAATTGTTTTCCTTTCAGAACTGACAACTTTGTTTAATGTGTGAAACTGCACTTTTCAGACTCAGCTGTGTGTCCTCAGGATTTTGTCACTTGTAAACACTTTGGCGGTTTGGGACTAGTTTCCCTTGTTCGACTTCTAGCTGACCCTCGGATGTAAAACTTAATTTTTATATTTATTTGTTTGCAGTTTTTTTTTCCTCTTGAGACTTTTTCAGCTAGTATGGAGAGTGAGGCGATGATATGTCTATTTTAAGACTAAAACTCCATTGTGCGAATTACCAGAATCTAATAGAAGACCTATTGCCACCTGCCTCATGACCCCCAAAAGAAATAATTTTGTGAAAGCAGCACAGGAGTTTTTTAAAGTGTCCTTAAGCCAGGCAGTACTTACCCAAGCAAGTGTGTGTGTGTTTATGATTCTGTATACTCTTTCTCAATACCAATCATTTTTCATGAAAATCAATTAGGAAAGGAATCTGCCAGATAAATAGAATGGGTAAAATCTTGGCTTGAGGCTCTAGGAAAATTAATTTACAAATGATAGAGACAGAGAAACCAGGGGTAAGGTGTTTTGGAATGAATGGATCTGGTTTTTCAGTAGAAGAGCCAAATCCCAGGGAATGTAGGAGGGAAGAGGAAAAGAGGAAGCGTGCAAGGCCATGTGCTTCTCTTTAAATGGCCAGAATAAAATCTGTCATGTCATAGGAGTTTCTCAAACACACAAAGAAGCCCAGAGCTATCTGTGCTTCCAGGAGCGTTTTGCCAGAAGACTCCTTTAGAGGTAAACATTTAGGCGGATGGGGCCACTGCGACAAAGTCCTATGACTCATGGGGGTCACTGATGAAGCAAGAGACCTGGGGTCCCCAGAGCACCAGGCTCCCCTGAAAACAGCCCGAAGCCTCTAGCTGCTGCTAGATGATAAGGGACTTAATCGCTAAAGTCAGATGGTATTTAAATCTCCAGAATGGTTGGTGGGGGCATCCCTTAGCCTTTCCCCTTTTTGCTTTAATGCATTTGGAGTTGAGATTTTGCGCTTTTGTGATTTAGGGTTCTTTTAAGTTCACTTCAGTTGATTTTTTTTTTTTTTGCCGGGGAAGAGGATGACAGGCTGGCAAATTTATTAGGTGTGACAGGAGTGTGTCTCATCAAGTTACTGTGGTGCTGGCCTGTCTCCATAAAAGATGCCAGAAGCCATCATCTTTGTGGTCTCCCATCTGAAGCAATTGCCAGGGAGACAGGCTGGGGTCTGGCCTGATGGGTCCTGAGTGCTGATGAGCAGCTACCAAGACCCAAGGGAGGCCAAAGGCTTCCACGGTCAGTCGATACCACTTTGATTATTTATTCAGCATTTATTAGGCACCCACTCTATGTCAGGACTGGTGTTAAGTGCAAGTGTCTTAGTAGTCTCTACCCTCATGGCACTGATAATCTGGCCACAGGGGGGTCCTTAAACAAGGGATCGCAGGCAAGAGAGCTCAGTAGGAGCAAATGGCTCGGGCCTGGTGCGGGAGTCTGAGGCCCCTCAGCTGAGGCCTGAAGTTTGAGGAGTCAGGATTCAAAAGGGAGTGAAACCTCCAGGGAGCAGCCTGATACCGGAGGAAAGAATGGGGCAGTGGAGGGGCCAGGGAAGAGAAGCACCAGGCAGGGCCCCTGTTTTAGCCCCTAACATAGCATCGTGGATTGGACTCGATCCCAAGGCCCATGGAGACGGTGGTATGAAGGAAGAGGGGACACCATTCCAGATAGGCACTTTAGAAAGCTCAGCCCTGCTCCATCACAAAAGATGGAGTCAAGGAGCGGGCAAGGAAAGGGGCAGAGAGAATGGTGATGGCAGGTTGGCCAGAGTTAGCAAATAAATATGTAGGACATCCAGTTAGCTCTGAATTTCAAATAAACCACTGGTTATTTTTTAGCATAAGTCTATTCCACAGAATGTTGTGGGCATACTTATACTAGAAAGTTATCTGTTGTTTATCTGAAATTCAAATTTGACAGGCTAGCCGGTGTTTTATCTGGGAACCCTAGGGAGGGGCAAGCGCTACCTGTACAGAGCTGATGGGGGCCTGGTTAGGGCAGCAGCTCCGGGAGTTGGGAGAAGTAATGGATCCAAACCCATCTGGAGGTGTTCACTGGATCTGAACGCTCCACTGATTGGCTAGGAGAGGAGTGGTAGTTGGGAAAGGGGGTGCTGATTCCGGGAACCAGTAGCCATAAGCACTGTGATACCCAGACTACAGTGACAAGTACCAAATCCGGGTGGCTCCAGGACCTACCTGTGCCCTCTGGCCCCAAGAAAGGCCACAGCCCAAGGCAAGCAGGCAGATGATGGCAAGGCTGGAACGGGGAGTGATGATGTCAGCTTTTGTCTGTGGGGTTTCAGCCAGTCACTGACCTCCTGGGCCTTAGTCTTTCTTAATCAACTCTAGCTAAGAGCAGGTGACTTCTTGCCAGACTTCCCAAAATGGAAACTGATGAAGCCAGGGGCTGAGACAAGCTCCCAACCCCTGAGGGCTCCTCTCTGCTGGTTGGAATTCACCACAGCGCAGAGATTTCCAGCAAACCTGAGTCGCAGAAAGTGGCAGTCCAGAGGACTCGGGCCTGAGTTGGAGAATGGGGCAGATTCCGTGTTCCTCTGCTGCTGGGTAGCCCACTCCGCAACATACCTTTCTATTGAAACCAACTGCCAAGCCCTGGGCAACTTTGTTGCTGATCCCTCATCCCAGTCATATGCGGCTAGTAAGCCTCCCTTCTTGGTTGTCCTCATGGAGAAATGAGGTATGTTCCCAAGGCTGACTCTCACTAGGGCTCAACAGGTTCCGTGTTCACCAAAGACTTGCCTACCTGCCTGCCCCAAGATGCCCACAGTTTAGCATGGGGAGACAGAATGAAGCAGCAGCGAAGTCACCAAAGTGACAAAGCAGCACTGGGTGGATGGGCCTAACTTGGGGGCAGTGGGGTTCACGACAGCCTGCCCTGGATGACTGGGTGAGAGCTTGGCTGTGAATGACGAGGAGAAGCTGGCCAGGGGATGAATGGAAACTCAGCAGTCCTAGGCTCAAGCTGGACCAAACAATCAGGAAACACCAGGGAGGCCCTAGTGGACAAAAAGGAGAGCTAGCCCAGACTGGTCCTTCTGAGGGGGGTGAGGGGTGCCCATCCCATTGGGGGGCTTCCTAGAAGAGACAAGAACCCAAAGATTTTAAAAACACAGCGCTCTCCTCCCTTCTCCTCCTTCAGCCTTGAGACTTGGCCCCGATTTTCCTATCTGTCTTGTCTCACATCAAACACTCCGTGTATCCTCTCCCAAAAATAGGGCATAGTGTTGGGCCAGGTTAAACAAACACGCTCCTCTTGGTCTCGCCCACGTCAGTTGTGCCTTGGAGACTGGGGAAAGTAATTGCTTTGGCCCTGGCGGGGCCTGAAGTTCATGCACTTGGTAGAGTGCTGTGGGAAGCAGCCTCGGCAGACAGCTGAGGGAGTGCAGAGATTTCCAGCAAAGCCGAGTCGCAGAAGGTGGCAGTCCAGAGGACTCGGGCCTGATATGAGGAGTGCTGGGGAAGAGCCGGTGGAATTAGCCTCATGTGCAAGGAGTTAATTATCTCCTTAAAATAATGAAAAAAAGGTTCACCATCTGGGGATACGCTCTTCCCCTTGGGAGATGAGATTGCCTTCCAGGCTTTGAAAGGCAGTCAGTGGTCCTTTAAAAACACTCTAGAGTTGTGAGCTGAAGCCTGTTGGCTGCTTAGGTACTAAGTTTGGGCTGTAAATCAGTTTACCTCCTGCTGCCACCTCAGTGGACATCGCCCTGCCTCTATACCTCAGCCACATGTGGTGGGAGCTCCCCCGCCCTGCCACCCACACGGCAAAGGTTCTCAGAGTATCATTCTGCAGAGGCAGTGTGCGCACGGTTGCAGTGACATTAGGGTTGTGAGTTTCTCCTCCCTTAGAGGTGACAGCCAGATAATTAACCTTGACCATCACTGAGGTGGGAGTGACCACCAATTCTTCCCTTGTGCCTTTACATCAGCTTGTTTCCTGGGACAGGCACAAAACTCTGGATTTGTGACCTTACGGCCATCTGCATAGGCAGGGATATTGGCAGTCAGTCTAAACCAGTGGTCCTCACGTTGGCTCTCCCGTGTTTCACCCGGAGGCTGAAGCAAAGTACTGAGGCCCAGCTCCACCTGAAAAAGTCTGACTGATTGGCTTGTGGGGAAGGCTCAGGTGACAGTATTCATTAAAGCACAGCCAGGGCTGAGAAGCACTAGGTGAGCCCAGCCCTTACCTGCTACCCTTCCTGGCTGATAGATGAGGAGAGCCAGACTGGTGCTGCGAAACACTGGGCCAGGGTGCCTGAGGGGTGGGTTCCACTCTAGTTTTTGGTATCCATTCATCAACTGTTTGAATGCTAGGTGTGCTGTACATGCTGGTTTATAATAGAGAAGAGGAAACCGATGCTTGGCCTTGCCCTTATAGAGCTTGCAGCTGTGTGGCAAAGGCAGGTGGGATGCAGGTAGTCACTGACACAGATTTCTGCCCCCACAGAGTGGAACCTGATGCTGGGGGGAGCCTGACAGAAGGGGATCTGGCCTGGTAAGGGAGGCAGGATGCTTCAGTGTAGGTGACAGCACCCAAGTGAGCTGAGTAGTAGACTAAGAAGAGGGTAAGGGAAGGGTAGGAGAACTTTCCAGGCACTGGACCAGGATGTGCAAAGGCCAGGGTCCAGGAACTGGAAAGAGAACATGAGGACAGAGCAGAGGATGCAAGTGCATGGGATGAGGCAGGGCCGAGAGGTGGCCGAGGTCACCCTGTGCAGTGCTGTGGGCTGTGTAGTCCCTGGGCAGTGGGGAGGCATTCAGTGGTTACTGGAGGGGTTGGTGGGATATGCTTCCCACAAGGCCACTCAGACACTTCACAGAGAGCACCAAGCAGGTGGTTCTGCCCCTTGGCCATGTAAGACAGAGAGTAGAGGTCTGGCCAGGTAAGGCTGCTCTCCAAGGTAAAGGGACCTTGCCCAGGGTGGTCACAGAAAGGCGGCAGGAGCTCGGACTGGAGGAAAGGTCAGGGCTTGGCCCTGTCCTGTCGCAAGGAAGATGGGACATGTCTGGGCTTAGATTACTGCAGAGTTAAAATGAATCCCACACCTGGGATCCAGGGAGCATCACTTTTGCCTGGGCCTCAGTTTCCTCATTTGCACCATGGGCAAAATCGGCAGGCTAACTTGAAATAGCCCTTATTAATTGCAGGTCACCCACCCAGAGTCCCAAAGCCAGTCCCTGGCAGAGCTCGGAATAAAACCTTGGTTGGTCTCATCCAAGCTGCCAGCTTCCCGTAGCTCCGTTCCCTTTGACTTATCTATTCTGCCTGCCTTGGTCTTGGGGAAGAATCCCAAGTTCCAGCCTAACAGGGGTCTGGGGTGGGCCCATTTCAGCTTCCAGTTGCCTCGCTTTTCCCTGCATCTCTTGGGTGTGCTCATGTCTGCAGGTGACGCACGGTGAGCCCCAGAAGTCCTGCTCCAAGGTGACTGACAGCTGCCA